GTGCAAAAGTGTATGTAAATATACTTTTACTAACTTTGTCCTTTTTCTTTTCCAGTTTGCCCTGCTGGTTGGAAACCTGGCAGTGAAACTGTAAGTCACTGATTATATTTAAATGCATATACTACTAAAAAACACTCAATTATTATTTCCACTATAGCTAAATCCAAAATCTTTGCAACTTTCAGTTAGATGATACAAGTAAACTCACATTGTTACAGTTACAGCTTTCGGATTACTACCAATTTCATTAGAAGCTCAATTATGTCTAGTGTAGAATTATAATTTCCCTCACACTAGACTTATTCCAGTTGTTTCAATTCCCCACGTGAACAGAACTTTCTTAAGCAGCAATGAGTTTGTGATCAAGAACTTGTTTCCTGTTAACACCTGATGGAAGAAGTTGGAAACTCTCGAGTCTGTCCTGCCTTCTCAGGTTTTGTCCGTATCAGTTGTTGGTTCTGTCAGGTCTTACTGTGGATCCTAGGCACTACCCAAAAAAAGAAAGACACAAGGTCCCAGGCTGCTGTAGTATCTGACAGAGCCAGTGCGCCATTAGAGCTCCAGCAGAGAGCACTGCTTTGCTGCACAACAGCTCTTCCTCCTTTGCTACTGTTCGCCTACATGTAAGAGGACAAGGAGAAAAGTGAGGGTTCAGATAAACACCCATTTAAGGTGTTTGTGTTCTGTGGCTTTCATCAAGCCTCAGCAGAATAATGAAACTTTCACTAGAGGGCTGAGCTGCCTAGTTCAGATGAGCTCACTGTCATTTATTTGAGCATGTGGCTTTCTTCTGAACCATTTGGTGATGACAAAGAGTTGTTGTTTAAGAGCTGTCTCAATCAAAAGCAGGTCCCAACAGCCTCTAGGCAGAGTAGCCATCGTTGTAACTGATTGATAGTAAAAACACCGGAATGTTAAAAACTGTGTTTCTTTGCTGGAGTACTTCCTGGGATAACTGGAGGCTAGGAATCACCTCTTTCAAGCTAGAGGAGGAGCATACTGAGAGAAACTGGATATTAAGACTATAAGATGAAAGAGGGTTGGCTGGCATAACAAACATTTTGGCACTGGGAAGTTAGGCCCTCCATAACCATGGATCACCTAAATAATACAATATTAACATATTTTTAAAAAAACAGTCTAAGAATGCTGAGATTAACAGCTTTAGTACTATCAGTTTAAAAATCTAGAACAATACATAAGCATTCTCTTTCTCCTCTGTGCAAAAGATGCAGATAATCTAAGTAGCAAAGTAGTTCAAAAAGCCTGTCTCAAAGATGTAGCCATGCCTTCTAAATGTGTTTGATTTAATTAGATCAAACCAGAGGAAGCCATGAGAGTGTGGTGGCCAAGGGAAGAACTGTAAGTAAATCCTAAGACTGCTGATTACAGACGTTAATTGATTAAAATCTTGCTTTGGGGGCAAGGAACATACATGTATGTGCTCCCAACTGCCAGAATTCTTCCTTTGGTAGGCTGCACTCTCTCTTCCCCCAGTCAGTTAAATCTTTCTGCTTTCAAGTATCTTCAGAAGTAAAGAGTAATCTAGTATCAAGTCAGCTGATAAATTACTCTCCAGTGTTGCTTGTGGGTTGGCCTTAATATCATGTTATGAAATATGATGCTGTTCTGGTTTTATGGTTTGTTGTGTTTGCATGGTTTTGGTTTTTGACTAACATTTTCACTTTCTTTCTTACACAGATAATTCCAGATCCAGCTGGAAAACTGAAGTATTTTGATAAACTAAACTGAGGCTCGCTCCTGTTGAATTACATAGGTCACATTCCATTTGATTTTGCCAATAAAATTTCATTAATTTTGTTACTTTCCTGAGTTTGACTAATATGTAACTGCGGTAGACTACTGAAGGCCTTGTTGCTTAAACAGGAATCTAACCTGTGTGAAGTCCAGGGTGAGCAGAACTCCACTGAGCCCAAGCCTCCCCATCCACCCCTGCAAGGGGAGAGGAGAAGTTCCTGTCTACATATAGAGGGTAAGGGAAGCACAGCAGGACCAGCACCAAACACCCAAGGCTCGTACTGTGCTACGAAGCCCCTATGATCTCAAGAGGGGAACAAGTAGAAAGCCAGTTTTTTATGTTACCAAGCTGTAAATCAGATGCTTGAATTTTACTCAGGATTTTGTTTACAGCTTTTATAAATCCTGAAACACCAAAAAACATCAACACAGAGAATGTTCAAATAACTCCAAGCAACTGCAACGTGATGAATGCAGGACAGGCTGTTACATGGCTATTCATAAGCAGCCTAAGGCAAAAAACAAACCTAACACTTGTGCCTGCCCTAGAAATGGTGCTTGTGCCCTGAGCTGAGAAAATAAAACAGGACTGAGAACACTTAGTGACTGAAGAAAACCAAGGCCATCTGCACACCTTGAACATTGCAGAGTTAGGTCCACAGCAGTGTAGCTATGTCAAATTTGAAGGCCCCAGCCCTCTGAACACATGTGGCAAAGAAATGATTAGCTAATGGATGAAGGAAATGTGTTTGTTTTTTTTTTATAAAAAAGCAGTTTAATGGGGATGAAAAGTTTTAGAGAAATAGTCCTTAAGCAAAGACTTGAGTCATCATGTGACATACTTGAAATGAAAGATTATGTATATGGAAAAAGAAAATAGGGTTTTTCAGAGATCTGGACATGCTGATGGAGAAGTTTACGAGAGAAAAAAGAATGAGGAAAAAAAAAAATGTTTGAGGTGGGAAAGGTGAGAGTTGACCAGGGAAACAGGGTGGAAACAAAGGCAGATCCTTAGTTACACACTGCCTCCAGGAAAATGAAGGAAGCAAAAGAAGTGAAAAAGAGATTCCTGAATGAGAGAGTAACATTGGAAATCAGGGGGAGGAAGAACCCTGAAATCTGTGGGTTTGGGATCATTAGTATTTCCAGAGATGCAAAACAACTGGCAACCTAAGGATTTTGCTTACTGTTACCTACAAAAGCTACTGCACTGTAGCAGTGCAAGACCCACTCCTCTTCCACACACATCACTAATTCTTGCAAAGTGCTCCAGTGTATTTTCTATGCAGGTATCAACTACAGCTTCCACAAAAGGAGTCCCTGCTTTCTCTTTCATGAAAGCTGAATATTTGCCTTTTTATATTCCCATGAGCTAGTGCCTAGCCCATGAAGAGATAATCTCTCCCACAACTAGGTAAAACTGCATTTAGAGGAGTCATTACTGTGCCCACCAGGCAAAGGCTGAACTGAATGTGCAGTACAACCAATTAAACGTGCAGTAAGTTTGGAGCAGGTTTCTAAACTGAAACCCTTGCTCAGTGGCCCATACTGCACCAGCTCCAGCAAGCTTCTTCCCAGAACACTGCGCACTGCAATGTGGCTGCAAAGGATCTGTGCGCATTTGAAGAAGGGCTACTAGAAACTGTTCCAGTAATTCTGAGAAAGTCATTTTATTATTTTTTAAGCACAGAAACAATAAAACCATTTGAAACAAAGTGCTTTTTCAGGCACTGTGCTCAGCCAGTCCCACAGAAATCTTCTTTTATATCACCACTATGTGAGAAGGTATGCGGAGGCAATCCAGCTAGCACACACTTCCTCCTCCTCCTCACTGTATTCCGAGATGTGATGGGCACAGAAACATTTACCTCCCACTGCAGAGCCACAGCCAATTACATAGAAAGGTTCACTACAAGTAAGAAGACTTTCTACCAATATCTTTAGGCACAAGCCATGCTAATGGCTAGTCACAGACAGCAGTGATGGGGTGGCCATTAAGTTGCAACATAAGCTCACCATTATGTTAAACATTTTAAATTTGAATGTGAGATACAAGAACAATTTTCTCTCACACATAAAGGTACAGAGCGACATGCATAAATAACACCCTTGAACAAAGACACATTTAGCCTCTTATCAGAGAGGGTAAAAACTTGGAGTTACCTTCTTGGAGTAAAAAATACTTGAGCACATACTCTTTATCTTTCTGTTTACTCCTGTATATGTTTGTATATCTTTTACATATATGTATATATATACACACATTCTGTGCAACTGTACATACATTTCTTTATCTACTGTGATAGTGGTATGCGTTTAAGTTATGATGAACTCTGAAAACACACTAATTTTTCTAAGCATCTTCATCTGTGGTACTCATTTTCTTCCTACTCTTGCTCCCTACTCTACTACATATATTTTGCCTCTTTCATCCCTTCCCAAAGCTGAATTGACAAATTACGATATATACAGCTGAAGAGGCATTAGAGGAAGAACTTGGTACCCCCTTAACTTACAAGCGTTATACAAAAGTGACCCAGGTAGGACCACTGGGTTGATGTAATCCTTCAGACAGTCTGACATAGATCCCTCCACTTCCTGCCTTCCAGAGTTTCAGTTCAGTGTCTCAGTTCTTTATATGTGTGGTCAGCTAAGCATATTCAGCTTCAAGAGGTTTTTTTAAAGGATAAAAATAGAAAATACAATATGTATATACATTGTTATATCTGTAATAAAAAGACTGTAACAGCATACAGCTGGATCAGCACTGGAGTGTGTCTGAAGAGAGGAACTCCATGCAAGGAACCAAGAGCTTGCTATCACTTCAATGTATCCAATACAGATCCGGCAATGCCCCTGTGCCTCCCCTGGAAAGATAACTAACTTCTGAAGGCAGCCAAATGTTAGGAAAGGCTGATGTATAACACACTGATTGTTTCAACACTCACCCTCCTTGTGGGAGTACCAATCAGCTGTTAGGAGCCATGACCTTCATGCTATCCTAGCTCCAAAGGAAGCTCATCTTAACTGTGAATTTCTCAAACTTTCCAACTAAAAAAAAATTTCAACATGTTGCTTTATCAACCTGTTTTGTGCATCTGTGCTGATTCACATAACTTCTACATACTGCTTCCTGATTTCAAGATTTTAAACCTAGCAGGGAAGCCAGAGTCTGTTCTTGTGTATTGTAAGATGTCATATTTCATCCATTTAACCTATCATTGAGCCTAGCTACTCCTGATATTGGAGATTATTTAAACTTTCTCCACCACATCAGAAACACTTTGGTGCCAAGTACTTTCTCCCTGTTACTTAGATACCATAGTTATGTCCCCACGGTGTCCCTTCTGTGACGGAGAATTACTCTGCGCTTCACAGATAAACTTGACAATTTTTAAAGCTGTGCAATACTCATATTTCATTACAGTCTACAAAGGAACCAGAAAATAATCCAGCCAAGGGGGCTTTCCTCTAGCTCCATCCTCAGTGGGATAAAAATCCTCTCTCCATTCAGCAGCTGACTTGGGAGCTGCTCAGTGCAGATTTGCCAGACCCCTAATGCCAGCATTAAACATAACCATTGCCATTTGAGCAGCATTTTACTTTTTCTGCTCCCAATCCCTAACAAACCAAAACAATCTACCCTACAGTGCTGTTTCCCAGTCCCACCCAACCTCACCAAGCACATCTCTACAGACCATGAGAAATAATTCATAAGGAACTTACAGTTATATACAACAAAAAAAGTTAGAAGAGGCTGGCAAGGGCTAGCTGTACACAGACAGAATGCCAAAGAGGCCATATGGTCACCTCATTCCATCACAAAATCCATTTTTCTCCCAAGGGAACCATGAAAACATCCAAAACAGGAGCTGTACAGCCTTGTAAAATCCCAGCTAATGGAAAGCACCTGCTTTACACTGAGCACACACTAGGAACTTCTGAGCTTATGCTTGCTGCCCAATGCAAAAAAATAAACCTAATTTACACAAGAATGTAGGTCAAATGGCTTTATCTGTGTGTATCTACCTATTGCACACTTTTTTCTGATAAAACTTCTATCCCTTATCAGGGAAGCACAAAGGAGAGCTACTAAGAGAAAGAAGGCAGATGGTGACAAGATAGCAAAGGTCATAATGCAATTACTCAAAGCAGACAAAAAGAAGCTACCTGAAGCTTAGTACTGTATTTTTTCAGGCTTTTTTCCTAGCATTAGCATGTGAAAATAGATTTCAACAAATCCTAGTAGCAAAGAATAAAAAAATCCAAATATATGCAAATATATAAATAGCATTTAAAAGGTGTTTTCTGTTGTGGGGTTCAGGTTTGTGGTTTTTGGTTTGGAGGGGATTTGGTTTTATTTTTTGCACCTGTCTGTTAGCCATCTCTGGTGACAATTCTTTCCAAGACAGCATGCTGCTATTCTGCTGATCCAGTGCCTGTCAGATTTCTTTCATCACAGCAGCAAAGTGTCGCTTCCCATCTAAATACAACATGGACTCTGAAATAAGGTGGAGAAAAGAGAACCACATTAGTACCCTAGTGTCAGTACTGCGCAACTTCATAATTGGTAAGATAAGAAGCAATCCACATGGTCATGAAAGCACAAAATAAACTCGGTTTGCCATGAAACCCTGTTACATTATTCAAATGCCATTAGTTCAGTTATTAGAATGACCAGTGTTCCAACAGAAAGTCATCTTTTCTACAGAGTTATGACAACAAAGCATTAATTGCATACTTGCCTCCATATGTTTTGGGGACAACTCGTGGAACCTCATTTTCTGATATAAATGTAAAATGGAAGATATTGGTTGTGTGGTGATCCCTGGTGTCTGCATCATAAACCTCAGTGTGTACTCGAACCTGGATGTAGTTTTTTTCTGTGTAACAGACCTGCACAGTTAAGACAAGATTTGTAGTTCCTACTTTATTACTGGCATTGACACACTGTAACAGACCTCATTACACTGTCTAACAATCGAAGCGCACACTCTCATAATGCACTGCTCATTATCAGTGATTAACAGCGACTACAGCAAAGATAAGTTTTTCTCTTTTAAAAAAGAAATTGACTCCTACCTGTCCAGAAAGCAGTAACAAGGATCCAACCTCAACTGGCCTCTGAAACATGATGTCATCAACAGATACAATAAAAGGTCTGGAACCCCTGAGCAAGAAAAAGAGAAATTTCTTCTCAAGACTAATGAGGGTGTTTGGAGAAATTTAAAAATATTTCCTCATCAGCTTTTGAATGAAGGCTTACTACAGCATATACCTTTCCTAAAGACAGGCCACAGGAAGTGCTACAGAATTATGTTATCACCCACAACAAAAATAACTGGAGGCAAACTCTCACACCAATAAAAGCACACATTCTCTAAGGACACGGCAGGGGGGTTGGAACTTCATGATCTTAAGGTCCTTTCCAACCATAACTATTCTATGATTCTATAACATGTTATTGCATCATTATTCTATAACTTATACTTGCTAGGCAATCTTCGTGCCATCACTGCCAACAGTTTTCCAAGCACTGACATGAAGCACTTCTCTTTGCATCAGGCTAGACATACTCCCATTAAACTTATGAATAGACCTTTGCTGGCTGATGACCTCAGTCACACTTTCTAAGCACAAGAAGCTACTAGAAGAACCTCAGAAACTATTTTGCTTTTGTACGGAATGATATACTTATTTGGCAAAATGTCTATTTTATATGGTTAGAAAGAAAACGTATCTTCAAAAGTCAATCTCAATGGCTTGGTAAGATAAAAGAAAACAGAAAAAGGATGTATTTTCTAGCTTGACATGTGATGCTTAACAAGAAGCAAGATGCAAAACTCTGTAAATACAAGAGACTCTCTAGATAAAGCAGTGCTGTGCACTAACAGTGCAAAATTCTACTAGACACCTACTTTTCTACTCAGATTGTCATTAGGCTGGTTAGTTTGGCTTCCCAATCTATGTGTATGTGCACAGTGCTCTGGATTATATAAATATTGAAGGTCTACAACTCACCCATAGCTGCAAGCAATTGCCCATCCAAGTTCAAACGCCTTTCTCATGAGAAAACCTCCAAAGATCCTATTGAAGATGTTTCGTTCCTATAGGTGGAAACAAAAAAAAAAAAACAAACTGCTATATTACATACATTATTTCCAAAGCATCATGTTGAAGTCTGCACTTCAGTTCACAGTATTTAACAGAACTCCCAATACCTGAATATAGAAAAAGCACTACTGAAATACATATATAAAAGTCAAAATAACTGAGGCAACTTTACTTCATAGAAGCTGACTCTGACATCATTTGACTCATTTGACAACATAAAACCTCAGAATTGTGCAGCAACCAGAAGCCCAACCTTAACACTTTGAAAAGGACTCTCTTTACATAAAATTAGTAGTCTGGTAAGAAAACAAGGTAATTAAAAATCTATTTTGCAGTGGTAACCAATATAGGTAACAGAAAAATGACAAAAGAAACTGAGATCTAAATACATTGCAAGGACTGCAGAACTGAAACAAAATAATGGATTGATTAATCTTACAAGACAATTCATAAGTAATTGCTTCTGTAATTTATTTTTCAAAATACCTGAGGATGGCAAATCTGTAGCCCTTTTAGCTTTGTATCTTCCATCCACACTGAATTGGGTGGTAATTTACGACTCCGGAAACTTACTGTCCTTTGGAAGAGATAATAAATTTTATAGCCCACATTAGGAGAATTCAGCAAGTGAAAAATGCACAAATAGCAAATGCAGACACACACTGAGGAAAAGGAAAAAAACAAGACCAATAAAACAATAAAAAAGGACCCCCCCCAAAAAAGTATAAATTCCTTCACTAAAAGCTGTTCCAACTGACCTTGAAGCCTTATCTAAAGTGATACTTTGATTTTTACTGCAATAAGCCTATGCTCCTGATCTTTCAAAAACTTCTGTTAATGCTCAAGCTTATGTGAATGAACAAGCTCAAGAAACGTACATGAAAGAAAAGATGAATCACAACCACAAAGCCTGTCAGAGAAAGTCTTACTGTTTTCTAAGTCATAACAGGACTTAAAAGCACTCAATGAGCTAACAGTAATTAAACATCAAACATGTAGACAGTTTGAGGTTTTCAGATCCAGACAGAATGTGTACAAAATACATCTGCTAATTTTAGGGGAAAGCATGTCTCACTTTGGTAAACAGCTTTGAAAATAACAACTGTGTAATAAGTTAAAGAAATAACAAATTATCCACAAATACGCCACTGCATTAATGCCCTTAGGCATTGTTCTATCACCACTGGCACTGGATGATTTCCCACAAAGCTCAAATGTAAGAGAAGTACATCAACAACAGTCTCCCCCAAATACTGCTTTCATGTATTATATTTAAAACACATGGCAAGGTTACCTGATCAAAATATGGCCAATTCCTACCCTGACAGGTTTTTATCTAGATATCAGGGCAGAAAACTCTCAGACTGCGCAAGTCACACAGCTGCAAAACCATTCCCTTCCCTTATTTGGTTAAGCATCACTAACACTTTTCCTCAAGATTCTTCCTAACAACTGGCTCAGAAGCATTTTGTGCTTATAGTGTCACTTTTCATCATCTTGGCACAGCTAACACTAACAACAGAAGACTCTTTCAAGAGATGTACATTAAAATTTGTACCTGTGTTTCAAATAAACTGCCACAGAATTTAAATGGTGAAATGGGAAAACAAAATGCATGCTTTTATTCCAGACTACCCTCTTACAAGCACCCACTTAAAAGGCACATGACTTTTCCAAAAGACTTCAGTTCTACTCCACCCCTCCCCTTCTTGCCTTGTGTCCAACGTATTAAGGAATATGTCATGAATAATGTTTCTTTCTTCTGCAGTGGGCGCCATTTTCAGTAAGGAAGCGGTGCTGAAATCAATCCTCTTCAGTTTGTTCACTAAACATTTTTAAAAAAAACATATTACAGTTCAAAGAAAAAAAAAAAACATTTGACTTGCTCTGAACATTTTAACATGGAATCAGCCGTCTCTTTCCTTTTCTCTTTTTCCCCCAGAAGCTAAAAGCTGTAACTCCACAGTCCCATAGATTCAAACAGAAATCTGGCTTTTAGAATTGACCGTATCAAAGAAAAATAAGGTAGAACTTCACTGTTTCCTCACCAATGTGATATACATAACTGCTACCCACCCATGGCTCCTACAGAAAACTTCAATATTCCCCTCAAAATATAAAAAAACATATCAAAGAAGAAACCTTACAGAACAACCAACCTTCTTCAGGTTTTGCCAATGGTACAAGAATTCAAATTTATGACAGACTTTACTACCGTAGGCCACAAGGGTTGAAATTTTAGATCTTCAGTTCATTCAGTCTTTAATGTTTCTCTAATTCTCTGCTTTAATATTCCAGCTTCAAACAAAATAAGATGGAGATACACAGTCCTTCCCTGGTTCCCCCCCCTTTCTTTTTCTGAATTTCTTTCCAAAAAGAACAAGGAACTCGACAGGCAGGAAGCTGTGATGAACCCAGCAGGCCCACCATGGGGGCAATCAATCAGCCAGAGCATTAGGAAAGCCTGTGCTGCGCTCAGATCTGAAGTGGAGAGAGCATCCTAGAAACTGAGAACTCTACTTGGGGTGCAGAGCACATAAGGAGTGCCCTTCTGTGTCAGTTTAGCCAAAGAGTTGCCAAGAATGGTGATAGCAGGCTTTTAACCTCTCTTACACTACTGACATATGAGACAGAACAAAACATAGTTTTGAACAAATTAGGAGCATTTCTAAGTAGCAACACTTCTGAAGTTTATTTCCTTCTAGCTATTAAGTTGAATCTGAGGCACATGTGCATACTACCAGGAAATCTGACATACATTCCCCTTGATTGAAGATTTTTTCTTCCTCAGGGCTCTCAGGAACTAGTGGATTAACAAATGCTGGCCTATGGACAGGAATTTCTGGTTTAGTTACAAACTTTACAATAATATTTCCTCCAAAAACATTATAACAGTCTTCTATTTTTGCTTATATACACAGTACAAGATGAAAAGAGATACCTGAGGTTATATCATAGAAATAGATTATTTCATATTGTGCAGCTGCCAGCAGAATACCAAATTAGCTTTAACTCTCAAGAGGCAGTTAAATGATTCAACCACTGTACAGCATAATTAAGAAAGGGTGATGCATCTACGCTTCTTAAAGAGCTAAATCTGTACACATGGATTAAAATGAAGATTTTTCAAGCTGTTTAAAAATTCAGCAAATGAAGATGTGATGACCTAGGATAGTCCAAAACGAATACATAAAACTTGAATGGTACCACTCCTCATGGAGCAGAAAGCGCACAGTGCTGTAGCTAGCAAGTGTTTTTATAATCTACATGTTCCCGTGGCAGTCTTATCAACAGCTGAAAGCTGTTTACCACATATACCACTTATCAAAGAAGATATGAGGCTGCCTTGAGCCCAAATTTGTGTGTTTATTTTTCTGCACAACTAAGTTTATTCTGACCTAATTACATAACATTATTTATTGTCACAAGGAAAGGCAAACACTTACTTTCAAGAGCCATTCTTCCCCATAATTTCTAATTATTATTTTTCTATTTCAACATTAATACAAATGCTCAGAACAATATATATATATATATATATACACATACACACAAACAAATATCTGCTGAACAAGACAACACTGCCCCAAGCCTTTACTTGAGATGGTGACAGAGGCATGCAGAGAGGATGTTTTAGCTTAGAACAAACTGCTCTTTCCTGGTTTGCTAAACCTCTGGATTTCAGAGACACACCAGCTCCTTCTCCATGATAGAGCTCATGCACTCTCTCCGCAGCTCAGGACACATCTACAGCAGCTGTCCTGTTCAAGACCCAAGCTGCAGAGATGAGCGTTTGCTATAGCCCAAGAGCCACACATCCATGTTTTTATGGCACTATAACTAACCTAACATACCCTGTGCCTCTCTGAAAGGTTTTTACTTCACATAGAATAAATATCTTCCTTATATGGACAGAATGCTTCCAAAACGTAGCTGGCTTGAGAACAGCAACTAAAGTTTGTATCTATTTGCACAAGTTCATATAGGCTTGTCCTAGGTCAATCTGCTAGTGTCTAATTACATCAGATTTGATGTAACTCTTTTGCAAAATAAGTCCTTAAAATGAGAAGCATAATTATATATAGATATTTTAACGTACACTATGTTAATAGGGTCTAAGAAAATATTACAAATCTGAATGAAACCAACCTAATAAGAACTTCTAACATTATCAGGACTAAATAACTATGTCAAGCTAACCCCCCCTCATTAAACATATCCTTTTTCATTAAATACAGGCAATTATTAAAACTAGTTAGAAAATCATTTATCACTTTTACAGGCTACACAAGAAAGAGGTAAGAAATACAACCGATTTTTCTGGTGCTAGAGGCAAACCAAAACTAAAATTAAGCAGCCCATTAGTTTAATGACTGAGGAGTTACAGAATGAGAAAAACCAAAAAATGGTTTATGGGTTGTTTGGGTTTTTTTTATGTTCTGTAAATATTTATTAGTTCCATGCTACTTAGATAAGTAAGTTTTAGACTGAATTATTCTGATGAAACCTATCGTATCTATTAGGGAATTAATGGCATTATTCACTCAGACTATTTAACCATCAAAACTCTATCTTTTCCAGTTTTATGGCAAGATGGCAATTAATTCTAACAACTCTTAGAATGCAGGTGGGTTTGTAACAGACTCATTCATTTCTGGCCAGTCATTCAAATGCAGAAAAAAAAAACCTAAGAAAAGGGTCCAATCCCAAGATTAACAGCAATTCCTGGTATCACCTGTTAAATCAGTGCTCCAAAGCTTGTCACAGGAAAGTAACACTTACCAGCAGAAAACATCAACTATGTGATTGGTCACCTATGCTACATGCCTTATATGTGGCTACATGCCACACACATAGCAAGCTGCCATGTTTGCTGTTTTCACCACAGTAGGAATCTGAAAACTGTTTTCCTCTCCTACAACTTACCCTTTATTCTCTGGATCCCGGGCTACCATGACAAAGGTTGCATCTAACACAGGGCTGTAATCACCATCATGTAGCTAAGAGAGACAGGAAACAATTATATTCTAAAAATACAATTATAAATGTGCTTAGCAAACTATTCAGTTGACATCAACTATGCCATCACACTGTTAATGCTGTTTACTTTCCCATTCTGTCATCCCATCCAAGATCTCTCACAACAGGTCAAAAAGAACGAAATAATGCAAATTAAAACTCTAGTTTCAGGAATACTTCAATGTAAATATTACACTGGGAATACTTATTAACTACTACTTTCAGCTGGGTGGGGAGGAAATCAATGCAGGCATTGTAAAAGGACCCTTTATTCTGCGAAACACCAGAACATTTTCTGTCAATAACAAATTGCCACTAATGTCAGCACTGTGAGGAGTTCAGACAATAAAGGTAAAATGTTATTGCCTATATCAAAGGCTCCACTTAGGGAGACCAACTGAATAAAAAATATTTACCTGTTTCTCTGAATTATAGCCACTAACATAATTTAAGTGGTCATAGCATATCTTTGCTGTCCTAAATAATTAAATAACGGAATTAACATCTGAGTTAACTAATCAATTGACAGTAAACATTCAATAGAAATTTTTTAATTTAATTATGAATATTCCTCTTGCTTCCTGCACAGTGTAGTCTTGTTACACCTTCATTTATTTTCTATTCTTTAGTATTTAATTATTTACTACAAAAGTTGTGCTACACAGCAGATAAGATGAACACAAGAGATACAATTTAACACTGAAACTGACTACCAAATAAAAAAATAAAGTTTGCCAAAAGCAGGGGGAAATTAAGAACATGCAGAGCACAGCCACATTTTTTTTTCCTGTAGGAGTACTGTGTCACAGTTTAATTACAAAACACTGGTTAAGAAAAATGCATCTTGAAAGAAAAGTAAGCAACAGAGTAATTTGCTGCATCTAGACTACTTGAAGTTATCTTATTCTTGAAACACCAGGACTGCCTCAAGCCCTTTAAAGATAGTTATACTAGAAAATGTAATTCATATTGCTAATATCATCCAGAATTCCTCCGAAGCGTTTCATCCCTGTGATGAGATGGAGAGAAGTCACAGGAACTAACCTGCAGCATGTGCATCTTCACTTCCATTGAGGTCTTCCCAACCCAAGAAACATTGCCTATGAATTTGATGTCACAATCTGGATATATAATCCTCTTGCACAAATCTACAACACAAACATTAGAGGCTGCTGGATCACTAACATGTAACATTAGAAAGACTGGATTTTCTAAGACCTTTTGTGTTCTGCAAGTGGCAACACACACAAAGTCAACCCAGAAAAGACAGTTGTTGCAAGGGACCACACTGCCAGCCTGCAGTTTCTGCCTTGTCAGAACAGGAGAACAGGAGAAGGAACAGAAGCCAGAACAGAAGGAAGTACGCACACAAATGGCAGACCCACAGCAGTGTTCAGCAGAACATGCGACACAAGCGAGATCTAACTCCACCAGAACAAAAACTGTTCAATAATGAACCCAAGAAGCTCGTGTCAAAATGAAACCAAACACAAATGTCCATGAAATTTGTATTTGAAAGGAAGGGAAATGCGAAACATGAAATGCTCCCCCTTCAACAAAACAAGATGAAGTGAACTAAACAGGAGTGTGAAGAAGGTATCTTCAGTAACAACCCAGGGACAGCAGTAGCTGCTGAAAGAGGAAGACAAACAAATGAAAACATTCCTACTGACCGAATTGCCACTTACTGATTTTATCCACCAGAGCTGTAACTATTGATAAAGGAGACTTTGGCTGCATTTCCTGCTTGGTGTGAGTGTAGCAAATAAGAACTGTGGAGAGACCAAAAATGAGTCAGCTCTTTAACAAAAAACTTCAGTGGAGCAGATCAAAGCCATCTTTGTGAAGCATGAGAAGTACGTGTAAAACACAAACTAAAGTATGTTTCAGAGCGCACATGACTTCCACATTTTGTGTAACTCACAAGATTGCTATAAAGAAAAATGATTCAGTAGCTGTCCCAGTTATACGCATATTTACTGGCTACAAATAGAAATGTAATTGACCACTTTAACTCATCGCTCCACATCCAATCCCACATAATCTCTTCCCTCTACCCCTGCAGCCCACAGTCTCAGATCCTTCCTACCTTTTATTTCGATTTCATGCAGGTTATCCAAGGATACATGCTGTCTGAAGACTTACTTTCAACTACAGATTCCTTTAAGGAGGTGCAGATTAGATAAAACTGTGCCTTACAGGTATGAAAGCATAGTCAGACATATTTATCACACTGTAATTACTACTAGCTGAACCACTATTTAAATTAATTAGCTCTGCTCAGAAGAGCATATCCAAGTAAAAAGACTTCTTGGAGTAATACAAGGCTGCAAAATGGTTTGTTTTTTTTCCTAGTACTCGTGACCATTAAAACAATATAACCCCAGCAGAACTGACTGAAGCCCAGTATGACTACAAACAAGGCAAACATTCTGTGCTCCAACACAAAAAAAACTCAGAACTTCACAGGTTTCCAGAAGAAATAAGACACAGAATGAAAACCAGGCTCATCTCATCTACCAATAGAAGGTAGTACAAATTGTTTCAAGTTTCCTTCTCTAATTCAAGACAGGTACTGAAGCCAGCATCTTCCCTGTCCCAGAAAGAAATACCAATCATCTAGTTGTTTTGTCTATCCTCAATAGGTATATGACACATTAACTTGTTTCCCTGCCTTCCTCAGTTTTGTCCACCTGACTCACAGTCTTTCATTGCTGCCCCTCCACCCTGGCCCAAAAAAAAAAATCCCTGTTCCATTCAGAAATTCCTCTTAATAAGCACTTATTCTTTGTCAAAAACCTCAATCAAAATGCTCCCAACCAGCTAGAGAACTCCAATGAAGAAAGAAGTCACCTGGTGACATTTTAAGAGAAAAGTATCTCCAAGTTACATTAACAACCTGCCACTTGTTTTAGCTTAAAACAAAAGTCAAAGAACTTGAACTTTTAAAGCCCATAAATAAATAGAGGGGAAAAAAACAAACAAAAAAAACCCCAACCCTAACTCATGAAACAACTGAGTAACTTTTACCCGTAATATCAATTTGGAGACAGAATCCAAGAACCTATAGACTGTTTTCCATTTTTCCTCAATGGATACAGTCTGTTCATTCCACATTATAATATCTTCTCCCCAAAGGGAAGACTGAAATAGTTGCACCTCACGATCTGTTAGGTTTTGTGTTGGTTTTGTTGGTTTGAGTTTCCTTTTTTTAAGAGCAAAATTTGGTTTAATTTGAAATAGCGCACTTTGCAAATTTTCTGATTTAACACTCAATGCATATTCATAATCTAGGATCATTTCTTAGTAAATTATTCCTGAGCTGCTCCTTTACAGAACTGGCAGAGGCAAGAATGTGAAGCTGAGCAATTTTGCTACTGTCCTTTGTCATCCTTCCTTCTCCTTCAGCATCAGTATCTTTCAGGTTTTTTCCTTCTCTTTTGAGAAAAAACACTGATGTGATTCCCTCCCTGAGGTCATACTATACCAAACAGTAGTGAACAAACTCACTTTCTCTGCATTACTTCTGCATTCTTTACACGGGCGTAGATACGTACCTCCTAAACTGTCAAGATCTTCAAGTATCCTTCCAAACCTGCAAGATACGGGTTTTGACAATTAAATACCTACATACATAGTAAATGAAAATTAACACTATGCTGGTTCCCTTGTTACCTTACACTGTTGTGTACATTCAGGTACTTTTCTCTTATTTCAGGTTGACTTCCTAGAGGTAGAATAACTTCCAAGTAGCTATCCTTCATCCTCCTAGGAGGGAGATCTTCCTGCTGTTTTGCCAGTAAAGTATGAAGAGCTTTTCTTTCTTGCATTGCTTGCACATGATCCCTTGTAAGGGGAAAAAAAAAAAAAAATGGAGCATGACAACAGAACTGCAACCACAGCTAAAAGATGTCACATTGAAGATTATCAAAATGAAAACAAAACAGTAGTAAAAATAGCAAGACACAGTGAGTGTGCCGTGAAAAGAATGTGAAATACTCCTAATGAGATATGCTAAGCAGGACTACTGCAGAAAACTTTTAAGTATTTTTGTGCACAAGTGGCAAGCACATACTTTGTGCTAAAGAGATAACAAAAATTTTCTAATTCCGAATGCTACCAAAATGGTTCCCCTTGAAAAGAACAAATCAGGCATAAACCTATGAGGTTTTGTGTACATTCATGTCTTCCATAGCTACCATATCACAACTCTTCCTACAGCCACAATTTTTGAAGGACTGCCAACTTATAATCTTTCCCAAAAAGTAAAGCATGTATAGTGTTGGTTAGCACTAACAACAAAAGGAACTAATCTGATAAGACTTGCTAGCATCCACAGGTGAGCTCTCCCTTTACAGCATCAGTTCATACAGCATACACTTGATCGGCAAGCTAAAGGAAAGGGGAAATTAATCTATTTCCCCTCTCTATTCCTACCCATAGTCACCTTACAACCACATAGGAAGGTTATAGAAATAAATAATAAAGGAAAAGGAGCACTATCCCTTCAGAGCTGCTTTTCCAGCACCAAGTCAGAGGGGTTGTAACTCCCACAAGGGAGTAAAGGACAACTTGCTGTCACTTCTTTACAATCTACCCAGTTGGTTCCTTGCACAGGCATCTTACAATTACCCTGCCCAACATTTTCTCTTACCTGTTCCTCCAAATGTTTCTCCCTTTAAAAGTGCAACCTGACTAAAAAAAAGCAAGTATTTCGTACAATTCCTAGAATCAACAACAAAGCATTAAGTGTCTTAAGGGTTAAACATGCAACAGTTCCAGTATAAAGCCAAAAGGTATGGAAACCTATGAATTCATTTCACAGAGCAAGAGAAGGCATAAAACACTATGTAACCAAACTTGATTTTAAACTTGTGGAAATGTGCTATTCATTCAGTTGTGCATGCTGCATTGCTGAGACCTGAGTGCCATTGTGTTTTACAAAACCAATTTAAAAAATAGAAAAATAAAGAAAACAACAAAAAGAACCTTTTCACCAAAAATTAAATATGTCTTCAATTTTGACTTTGGATAAATTCTGGGCATTAGCCATTTAAGATTAAGACTTTTCTGCTTTGAGCCTTATTTTTGGAAGAGAAGTATAAAGCCGTCATCCTGCAACATATATATATTCCCTCTTTCCTGTTTAAGAATTTGGGAGGAAATATGAATAATCCATGATCAAAGAGGGTAAAAGTCCAGCAGAAATTTCTGTTTGTTTTAAACATGAAACATGGTTTACCACATCTAAACAACAAAAGTACTGCAGAGTTCAGAGAAAATAGAAAGATAACAACCTCCTCCAGGGGGTTAATGTTTGAAGGTGTGCCACTGCATAGAAACAGAATATACTAGATGACTAAGAAAAGATGCAATGTCCAAGATGATGCACCTTTATGCTTTTTAAAATATTTGTTTCCAAGGTCTTTCAGTGAAAGGTTTCAGAGAAATTATATCAGAAAGTAAATCTTAATCAGACAGTAAACCAGAAATTTGTCTACAAGCATATAGAGACCAAACAATAAAAATTTAACTATGTTTTGTTTTCACCAGTCCCATCCTGGCTCCTCTGAGGTCAGCACCAGAACTCTTCTTGACTTCAGCTTCAGAATGTGCTCTTCAATATACAGAAGTACTGGTCTCAAGGCAATAACATTTTTCAACAGATAAATACTGTTACACACTGCAGCACCAGTCATATAGTAACAATAGTTCATCTAAATATTAACTAATGCCTGCCCTAAACATTCTGAGAAATTATGCTATTTATTTCTGAAATGGCCACAACTGTATCTAGACTGTAATTAGCAATGAGCAGATTAACAATTTTAATTACAATTTAAGTTCAAAACCAGAATAAATACATACCCAAAATATTTCTTTCTGATACAAAATGTTACCGGCCGTTACAAGAGAAATCATGAACCAAAGTTTCCTTTTAGCAAAAATAACAGCCAAAAGCATTCCTCCAACATGTATCTCTCCTCTCTCCCAGTAGACCAGTTGCATGCGCACCAGTCCTTCCCTGCCTCACATTTAGGGACCCCTACCTATCAAGCTGTTCTTAGTTTGTCCTCTTTAATCATTCTTCGGCTTGACTTAACTAAAGCAGTGGCTGTTCAGTCTCCACACATATCAACTCTTTGTCACTTCATTTTAAAAGTATGATCTCAAAGGCAACATGATCCATGTCCTTCAGACCTCACATATTAACCCTGTCATTCCCAAGCACTCCCAGCCATGGGCTCCCCAGCTTTACTTCTTCATAGTAGTTACATACAGTACTCCACAAACCATTTCTGTTGTAATTTATACACCACAAGAGACATACCTATCTAAGAAAAGCACTGCTGTAGTGATCCTGGCTTCAATCTACTCTCCTCCCAGGGCTGGAGCAGTGGGGAAAAAGAAATGGATAGAAGATCAGATTTTTCCAGAGCCTCTAAAGTCTTGATCCTCAGGTGGTATTTCTATATAGCGGGGCTCCTTCCCACCCATTGTGGGCTGCAGGAATGGTTCTTTTAAGTGCCCTTTTCAGCTGACTTAATGAAAATTTCAAGCCCTATCATGCTTAGGTAGCAGTCTTACTAAGCAAAAATCAGCTTTTCAGATTCAGACCTTTTCTTTAGTGTGACTATAATCCTGTCTAGATAAACCTAGTCAGAAGGCCTAGACACATCAAACACTCCACTCAGGCAAGCGTCTCTTCATTTCCCTATCAGTGTACAAAGTGTGAAAGAAGAACTCAGCAAACGCAGCCATAAGAAAATTAACAATAAATACAAAGAATATGGCAACAACCAAACTACAATACATAATTCCCTCAGGCTATACTGATTTTAAGAACTGATAACAGTGGAGGATTACAGTCAACTCTGGCTTATTCAACATGATGGAGGGGAAGGAAAGTAACCTAAATAAAGCCAAATCATCACTCATTTAAATTATATGTAAATTAATATTAAAGTACAGCAGAGAAAAGAAATGCCCAAGATGCTCCTGACTAAGGAGACCCCAATCCCAAGCTGACAATTTTCCAAAGTGACATAAGTGCTGCCAGTCCATTAACGATGCAGCCTGCTTCACACTGAGCCAGCTCAGCTGCCTCTGAATCCAGTGCAGTATAAATCCACCACGTTGGTAAGACACCAACAAATAACTCAAGAGCAACCAACAGCAGTGTAACATTTCCAGCCAGACTCTAGAGCTCTTACACCTTCATTGGATTCAAAGCTGATGGGAGAATCTTTTAAGCATCAAGGTCACTTATTTTGTTCCTTTGGTGGTACAGACCTTGTGATCCTCAAAGCGACAATTCAGAAACCTTGCTTGCATTACTTTTTAGCTGTATCTCCTTTCTTCCCCAGTCAGCAAGCTAACATGTTAACTTCCACTACCACAGCCCTGAGCTCTACCTGGGTTTCACAAATAAAGTAAAATACATTTAATGCACACTGTACCTCCAGTTGGTAGATGCTCCCACTATTTCCCTCAATCTGCTTCGCACTGAAAAAAAAAAAAATTAATCAAAAGCAAATCAAGCTTAGCTCTGCAAGTGATGAACATGAGGTTGAGGCTGCCTGGTGCTAAGAGGCACCATCCTCATCCCAGAACAGGAAAATTAAGTAAATTCATGCAAATAGCATTCCAGAAACAAAAGTCTGGCCAAATTCTCTGCTGCTGTTAGTAGGCATGTCACAATAATGGATTGAGTAACATGATTCTGTAGCTTATTGTGTTTAGCCAACAAAGAGTATTTGCTAATGCAATCAAACACCTGCAGTGCTAATTAGCAGTTGAAAGACACAGCAGATCAGGATCAGGTTAAGGAATTTTGATGTGAAAATATTTCAGCCTAAACACAAACAAAACTGGAGATAACACAAATCAGAAAGCCATAAAAGAACATAAACAGGAACAGTGAAGCTGGGAGACTGCGACTGAGGAGAGTATTTTTTAAATAATCCCACTCATGAAGGCAGGTAATAGCATCAGACTGGCTCTTGCCAGCAGGGTTTCACAGACTAAATCTTTATCAGTCTCAAAGAACACGTTGTTAAGACACTGAAGACAGGTCTATAAAATTAATTCCTGCACTATGTGCACTTAGAGTTGATGCCAGTTCTGCACAAGTATTTCATAAACTTCAAGAATAATCTGCATATGCAGTTTCTCTACTCTCCTTGGATGAGGTTATTAAGTGTGCTAACATCCCATCAACTCTATCTAACTGCTCCATCACGATTAGGCAGGTAAATGTATGCTATTTGGAAACACCTGAAAACAAGCAGCAATAATTCCCAAGCTCAGAACAGAAGCTGAGAATGTATAGTTGGGATTCCTTGCTTATTTACAAAGACTTTTATACAAAGGGGTTAAAATACTGGGACAAAATAGGGACACATCTAGAAGGGCTACCAAAAAAAAAAAAAAAAAAAATTTCAATGAAACAGAAAGAGGGCTGCTGCATTACAAGCTAGTCCTTTATACTTGCAGGTTATTAGGTACCACCAGGTTTGGCACTTTTCAAGCTAAATGCCTGGTCAGTGTATTCGCAGTGATCAGCAAGCTATCCTGTGAACCCTGGAACAAGCAGAGTTTGATTTCATCAGTATTTAAATCACATTCCCCTATCAGCCAGACCAGCTCTGCCGTGTCCCCACTCCTCCACACAGTCACTTTTCTGCTGCTTTCCAATCCCAAATCCCCCACACCACCACCACTGCAACACCCCTTACCTCCCTTTTGTCCCTTCCCCTGCAACACCTTCAGCTCTCGTTCCTGCACTCCCAGCCTAATTCTATTTCGCCTGCCCCCTAGACAAGCACTAGCATGAGCTATGGTTAGCCTAGACATATGCAAGGGGCTGAACACCAGCCAGTCAGCACAGAGATCCCAGTCGCTCACCAGCTGCCAGCAAACACCACAGTCCATGGCTGACCCAAACACTAGCTCTGGCACCCTAATGAACCTCTGATTCAAAGACAGTTTTCACAAAGATTGTGGAAACACATTTCTCTTCAAGATTTGTTTCTCATCTATTTTGGCTGACATCAAGAAACAACTGGTTCTGGAAGAAGAGGGTGACAAGGAGATAGACAAAGACAAAACAGATTGCTTAGACCTCATTTCTTTAGGAAATTTGGCTAAAAAAAGTATTTTGAAATTAGAAGAGTTCCACTACAATTCTAAGGAAAACAAAAATTATGAAAGAAACTGATTTCAAATCTTAAGAGTTAATTTTTATTTTTTTTAAGGGGGGAAGGTCAGATTCTTTTTTCTTAAGAAGCAGACAGCTTATTAACAGAGTAGGTACTACTTTTCTGTTACTCACACTCCACTTGTGAAGCTGCCATAGCATGCATTGGATCGACATAGTGTTAGTAGAAACACTTTTACAGCTTCTAGAACACAAAAATTCAATTTTCCGATAGTGCACAGACTGTGCTGGGATGGAGGGGGAATAAACAGCACCTTCTCTTTGTTTAAACCAAGTTCATCTTCCTTTTCAACTCTAAACAGTAGAAAACTCTGAAAAAACCTCTGGTCCAAACCTGTAAACATGTATATACATTGTTAGTCCAATTTAATACTTCTGATTTCAATTTTAGGCATACAAGTGAACATTTGCCAGGCTGAGACCACATACTTTTTATTTTAACAATAAAAGGGATAAAGCATAAAAATGTTCCTAAAATGTCGTGAAGCTAAATTTAGTCCATTTTACAGGTTCATAAGTACATAGTTTCTCTCTTCCCTTCCCCTGGGGAAGACTACCTTGCTCTTGCAACAGAAATTTAAGTAAGTTATTAAGCACAGACGTCCATAAACTCTTTCCCTTTTCTTATTTGGCAAATGTCTTAAAAGTGCAAAACAATTGCACCAAATGGGGCTTATCTATTGTTGTACATTTCACAGTATCTCCTAAACTACGATCAGTGGATCATTAATGCCAGAGCAGGAGGGTCTGAGTATATTTGCACTGTGATGTGAAGAAGGACACAAGGGCAGCTGGACAAGATCACTGCATTCATCTCTGCCAGTGAGATTCACGTCCTCTTCTGCTGGTGTTACCCCAGGCTGTATCCAGGTTCAGGTAGACCACTGTCACGTATTTTACCACCACTATAGAGGTTGGTCTTAACTTACTGAAAGACGCAGATTCAAATGTCTAACCTGAAGCTAAGTACTGCAGGAGTTGCTGTATAAGAGATTTTGTATCCCACAAGCTCTACGAAACACGTTATCCAGCACACCACCAGAAACACAATGTGCTGAGAGAGATCTAGGACAACACTGCCACAGAGCCATTCACTGAAGGCGAAGAGGCTTTAAGCAAGTCAATAGACAAGAGTAATAGCATTTCATTTTTCATTAATGCTCAAGTAATGAAAAACAGTAGCTGTTTAGTTTAGTGTTATAGCAAATATTTTAATATGTACAGATTACCACAACACACCATTATTCACATGAAGGGGTAAGTGTCCTGTGGAGTGGAAAACACAGGTTAGATTATCAATTAAAAGAAACAACGCAAACTACATCTAGTAAGGAGTTACCCGATCATTCTACCTGCTTGAGTTCCATTTAAGCATGTGTCCTGCAATTTTAGTAAGCAACTGTAGGCACCCTGTCTTCGCCTGATTTACACTCAGTATCTTCATGTTTTCAACTGAGTTCATCCTTTCCTTCAAAGCCAGTTTTGTGGTTACTTTGTTTACTGGCTCTGTGTAGTATCTGCTTGCAGTGTAATTCCAATCAGTTTTTCAAACTCAGTGTTACCATGTGCTATTGACAAACACTATTAACTTTGGAAAGAGTATCTGGAAGATTTTTCAAAACATGGGATGAGTTGTCTTTAAGAAAACTTCCAAAGTCCTGCTTCATGTAGCCTTTGGGAGAATCATGGAGGAAGTGGGGATATTCACAACTGAGACCCAAAGTTGCGAGGAAGCATATGAAAAGCTAGTAAATATTTGGTGTTTTGTGAAAACAAACTAGTTTACATATCAGTGAAAGTTTGTATAACATTATTTGTTATAATTTTAGAACAGAATCTCAAATACTTACAGTTATACAGTCCACAAAATATTAGTATTCCTTGAAAACCAGAGGAAGGCCAGCATGGCTTCACAGATTCACTGTTTCCACTCGCCTTCTAGGTGGCATCATTACAACTTAGATATAGAGAGCAGGGTAATATTTGCAAGAATGCAATATTCTGTATCCATGCTTCTTTCCTTTCATTTTCCAAATTAGCATTTATTAACTAGCATGAAAAGAAATTCACTAACAATGAATAACCCTCATTTTCTCTTGCACTGGATAACCTGCGATTTCTATTTAGGCAACAAAATGGGCAAGAAGATCTCAGAAACAAGCAGAAATCCAAGTCATAGAATCATAGAATCATAGAATAGTTAGGGTGGGAAAGGACCTTAAGATCATCTAGTTCCAATCCCCCTGCCATGGGCAGGGACGCCTCACACTAAACCGTGTCACCCAAATCTCTGTCCAACCTGACCTTGAACACTGCCAGGGATGGAGCATTCTCAACTTCCTTGGGCAATGCATTCCAGTGCCTCACCACCCTCACAGTAAAGAACTTCTTCCTTATATAGAATCATAGAATAGTTAGGGTTGAAAAGGACCTTAAGATCATCTACTTTCAACCCCCCTGCCATGGGCAGGGACACCTTATGCTAAATCATATCACCCAAGGCCTCGTCCAACCTGGTCTTGAACACTGCCAGGGATGGAGCATTCACAACTGCCCTGGGCAACCTATTCCAGTGCCTCACCACCCTAACAAGAAAGAATTTCCTTCTTATATCCAACCTAAACTTCCCCTGTTTAAGTTTTAACCCATTACCCCTTGTCCATGAAGGAATTATTTGTACCTGGCAACAGCCCTTTTCCTCCTCCCCTTTTCTCAGTACCTGGGATTAGAATGCAAGAAAACTTTTTTTAAAACTTCTGCAACAGGCACATTATGGCTTATTACTACAATTAGAGTGCCAAAACAATCCTTCAACACAGAGCGCCATTGACAAGAACATTTTCACAAGGCAATGCTGCTGATCTGATTAAAAGATTTCTCTAAGTTTACAAAATTAGTGTTATTAACACACTAAAAGTTCTGTAAAACATTATTCCCACTTCGCTCCTTCATCTGTTGGTCATTTTATATTCCTGGGTTCTAGCTATGAAAAAAAAAGGGTAGCAAAAAAGTGATACTATAAATTCAAAAAAGATCAAGGACAGGTTTAAAAGGCCATTAACTTTTTTTTCTGCTCCCCAGACTTTGCTAATTCAGGACTCATGACCCATGTTGCACTTAAACCCTTTGATTATGGCTTCATTTATGGTAATGAATGTCAGTTAGAAAATAGCAATATTCTTTACTCTGACATTTCATTTTATTCCTTCTGCGATAAGATTGGATGAGGATTTGAGCAACCTGGTCTAGTAGACGGTATCCCTACCCATGGCAGGGAGGTTGGAACTGGATGATCTTTAAGGTCCCCTCCAACTCAAACCATTCTATGGTTCTACAATTCTCTCCAGTGGTCACAGTATCTTTCTGTACTACGTTTCCTTTCTGCGCAGAGCCAACTTGAGAAGCAGTTGTCCCTCCAGAAGAAGAATCACATGTTCTGCCAATGCTAAAGAACCAGATGAGCCTCCATGTCTGTAACTTTAATGCGTGTGCATATTTGTTGCCATTAATCTCCAAACACACACAGAAATACTGCCACGTCTTCCAAAGTACAGTCAATTACCTTACCTTCATTCATGTCAGGAAGCTCTGGGGAGCCAGTGGTCCCAGAAGTGAGTGTCCGAGCCAGAAGAGAAGGAAGCTTCCTCATCATCCACAACCTACAGGCAGAAGAATTTACTGTCATTAAAACTAATGCCATGGAAGTAGTTTAGGATTTATTTTTGGAACAGTGCTGATTACTTTAGAAACCACACTCTTAATTTTTAATCCTGATTTTTAGAACCACACACAATCAGTACAACAGTTCCAAGCCAGCTGAAATTTCAACTGATACCTGTCCTCATCTGAAAATAGGAAGGAAGAATGATTCACTGGCAGTAACTGGTCTTTTCACTGACTCAGATGTCCTGGGACAAACAGCATCTTCTATCCTGTAGGCAGGTCCATGTGCATCTGGGAAATCATCCATGACCCTAACCATAAACCTGTCCTGAACTTGGCAGGTGTCCATAGCAGTGGAAGGTGGAAAAGCCGAAGAAGGATATCACAAGGCCTACCACACAGTCACATTCAGCTAAGCCCGGTCTTCTCCTCCCTGGCTTACTACTGCTGCAACTCAGAACAAGCCTAATGTGCAGGATATAATCCTCTTAGCTGTTCAGCAAGAAGGGACAACCATGAGAACCCTTCAGAGAATGTAATCCACCCAACAATTCACTAAGAGTTCAATCAGGTAGCAACCAGTGCAGCTCTTCCAGGCAAACAAAATTGTGATAGCACAAAAATACACAGAGGGTCACCAGGAATAAAACTCCTCATGATAATTTATAGTGTTATCCTGACAAGAAATAGGAACTCTGCCCTTAATTTTATTCAGCTGAGGCTGGGGTTTCAGGTCAAAAAAGAGGCAAGTTCCCGGGCTCCAGAATCATAGGATGGTTTGGGTTGGAAGGGACCTTAAAGCTTACTCTGTTCAAACACCTGCCATGGGCAGGGATGCCTTCCACTAGACCAGGCTACTCAAAGCCCAATCCAACCTGGGTACATGTCTACACACATATATCTTATATACATGTTTCCCCCTGTCTGCAGGTACACCAGGAGTACATAAGAGAGAAAAAGGGAACACACACACAAAAATAACCCAACTCAGAAGCCAGCAGTCTCATACACACCAGAGAATGGCAATGGTGAAAACTGTGTAAGTGATGCAGCCTCTGGACCCGTGGCACAGTCAGGGAATGACTCCTACCTCAACCCCGCCCGCACCCCCGCGGGACCCTATCACGCCCGATGCCATTTCAGGCGCCCTGAGCGAGGCGCTCCTCATACCGACAGGCCAAGACGGCCAAGGCCAGACGCCTTCACCCTAAACTCCAGGCAGCCACACCCGGCAGCGCCCTGCCAGCCATGGCTCGCACTACACACACACACCCCGCCCCGCCAGCCATGCACCGGATCCCCTCCTGGGTGCAGGCAGCCTAGCCGCGGGACCCGGCTCGGTCCACAGCGCCCCCCGGTAAGGCAGCAACGGCGGCCCAGGGCTCTGCCTCACCTCCCCGGGGCCCGCCACAGGGAACCGCCACCATCTCCCCCGGCCCCGCCGCGGCGGCGGGAGCTAAGCGGCGCGGGGGCAGCCTTACCGAGTAGCCAGCATGGTGCTCGCCCAGCCGCCACCGGGACCGAGACCGTCACCCGGACCGAGACCGTCACCGGGACCACGCCTGTCCGAGGCACGCGGTTCTCCCAGGACAGCAAATGCTCGGCGCGGCCCTTCCGCCGCGTTGTGCAGGGCGGTCCCAGCGCAGGGCCGCTCAGAGCCAGCTCCCCTCTAGTCCCTCCGGTCCCCAGGCAGCTCCGCTCAAGCTCGGCCTCCTGCCAGCGGCCGCGCCTTTACTCAGGGGCGGGCCGCCGGGGCCGCCGGCTCCGTGTGCCCTGCCCAGGGCGGAGCAGCCGCTCTGAGGGGCCGAGGTTGGTGCCACCGGCAGCCGTTGGACACCGGGCGAGCGCTGTCCATGGGGAGCTGCGTGGGTTTCGCGTTTAATAAGTACCGTGATGAGTGCGTTATTTTTGTAATGCTCCTGTTTTCCACTGTGTCTCTCAGAGGCATACCATAGGGCCCAGGCGCTTCCCGAGCCGGCGGGCCTGCGGTTGCTGGATGTCTACGCAGCCGGGGAACGGCCTCCGGCCCCGGCCGGTCACTTGGTGGCACTGTTAGGGAAGGCAGTTGAGTATTTGGTAGGGGGAAGAGGTTGAAGAAAACACTGCAGGTAAATAAATAAGCTGCGGGTGAATAGTAAACAAATATAATGAAACAGAATTGCTTCTATTTATATAATGGGAATTGAACAGCCTTAGAGCAGAGAGGACAATCAGCCTGTGCCAAGGTCTGTGGGCTGCAGAGCAGCTCCTTGCTCTGCACAGAGACTCCATAGAGCCAGTGAAAATCTAAATTTCAGAGGCCCAAGAGCCAGTCAGGATCTAACTTCTGGAGATCTAGCTGCTACCCATGTCAGCAGCTCTGATGAACTAGTATACAAGTGGCCAGGAGCAGCTTTCACACAGACCAGAATATACAGTCTCACTGGTCATTTCAACTTGTGAGCAAACTGGTGCTTACAAAATGTACCAGTTAGCAATGAAGTTGTTAAACAGACTTTGCTAAAGACTTATTCAAGACACCACTAAAACTCTATGAGGCTATGAGAAATGAATGTTCTCG